ATTCCATTCACTAATTTCTGTCAACTCCTTTTTCTCGTCAGTCATTCTTGCTTCTTCTTCCACTTTACATTTGTCTATGTCAGCAACAATGGCTCGTAAAGCTCGTTGTTGTCGCTCAACTGCTCATTGATTTCCGGATGCCAGAATCTTTTCGTTTCGCCCAACTATAAGCTTAAGCTGTACTAACTTATTCTTAATTACACTGTTCCCAGTTGCCATAGTATTAATAGATTTGATGTTGTATGATTATAAAGTATACAGAATTTGCCAATAAGATATAGCACTTGTAGAATGTCCTTCCAGCCAAATAAAATTTAGGAACAGCTGCCAAAATTCACTAATCACTCCAAAAAATCACAAATGTTTGAAAATCACTGTACCTCTAGAGGGCCCCTCTAGGGCCGAATCTCGTAGGAGGAACTTCGCACACTCTAGCCTGGTCGCAGGCTAAACTCGCGGGTTGCCGTAACACCCTTCACCAGTACACAAATTACACAGAAAATATATCGCTCACAGATGTGAAATATATCGCCACAAATCGCCAAAATATGAATAATAATCCCACAGTTCAGAATGTAAACAAGTCTTTGCACAATAATCTCTCAAACGTTATGTAATATCGCCACAAATATCGCCACAAATATCGCCAGTAAATTAAAAGAATTGGTACCTATACTTTGTCTCTTGAGGTCAAATCCAGAAATAATTCGCAAATTTCATCAATATTTTTCGTCGGAGGTGCCAGGTGTTAGGAAAGTTTGCCTCCAAAACCGATTCCCAACAAATAATACGTCACTTAGCTTAAAATTACTCACAAATTAAAGTTGAAAAGTTATATTTAATAATAGAAATCGCTTCGCTATAAAATCTCACTTCGCTCTCACAAGACTCACAAAAAATGTGCTTAACTCAACAAAAATTAACACTGTTCGTTCCCAGTCTCCGACACGCTGACATTAGAAAAAGAAAGAAACAAGTGGGGGGTTTTCTGCCAAGTTTCTGGCAAAAAAGATCGGCAAAAACTATTTTAAAATAGTTGAAAAGCTGTAATAAACACTAAAAAGCCTTGCTACATTTGAGTTTATAATTGAAAACAGAACACAAATTGATTTAAATATGAAGAACCCAGCCTAGTCCCAATCGTTCTGAAGCAAGCGCGAAAAACGTGGATGTAGTACGAGACTGGGACCTAGGTGTGACGTCATCGCTAAAGGTGCTTCAGAACGCCTAGCAGATTTCAGTATTTTGAATATGGGGTAAAATGTATATACACAAATAACCTTGTACATACGACAATGTTCGTTGATGATGTTCGATGTCTACATAACCAAATTCAAACTGTATGGAAAATGTGCTCAATTAAAAAAATATATATACAAATTTACGATACTGAATCTGAGCAATGGTCGTATAATCGTTAAGTTGATGTTATTTATATACTCGCAAGTTGTGATCAACACTAGACCATACTGGTATACACAACTACGCTTTCTACTTGACAGGTTTAAGTAGCTGAGGAGATTGGAAATATTTGCCTGACATGACTATGTTGTCAAAACATTTTTAGTCGGAGACTCGTCATAATTTTCAAGCTTCCAGATAGCATTTAACATGGCTTTATATTTTAGTAAACACGAGTAATATTTAGCCCGTTATTCCATTCTGACCGTATGGTAGCAAAACGTAGCCTATTTCATTGTTCCGACAGCATTAGAGCAAAACTAATGACTTAATTATAAACGCAAAGGAAATTTCCATAACATTTTCTATTTACAAATGCGGTATGCTTGGTAACCAGGCCAGGGACCACTTTTTTGAAATCAGGGACCATTTTACCGAAATCTGCTAGGCTCTCTCGCTGAAGCGTTCCGCACAGCACACCCAGGCGTAAAACTTTAAATATATCAAAGCAGCGAATAGAGAGAGAGCCTGGGACTAGGCTGTGAAGAACCAAAAACCGTTCGCAATGTCGAAAACAAAGCCTTTTTCGAGATATAAAATGATAAAACAAAACAGTTTAATTAAAACAGTATACATAACCTCAATTTTATCAATCTTACCTTAGGTGGCCTTTTTTCTACTTGAAAAACTAGTTTTATCCTAGCGGAACCAATCTACCGCAGCTAAACAAGACATAAAACGTCAAAACATGTCGTTTTTTCCTTCCTTTTTCGCCATTTTTAATAGTTTTTTTGTACAGCCGCTAAAAATATGGGTTGATCGAAGGCTTATTTTATAAAACAAGCATGTGATTGGATATATGCTTTTGTCTGAGTAATCGACAAATAAAAGTGGTCATTATTGGTCAGAGTTAACGAGCTAAAAATTCCCGTGAAATTCGAGCAATCGGCTCCAAAACAATATCAAATTTAGAATTTTTAAATCCGATGTAGGAAAGTGCTAGTCCATAGCGACAACGCGGCAAAACAAAGACAGCGATTGCGGAATGCGAAGGCCTTCCTCGCGTATCTCACGAAACTTCCACGTCAGCGCGAGGGCGGGAGAAAACCCCAAAAACCCACGAACAGGTAGCGGGCGCGCTAAAGTTCACGGTATGCAACATTCTCGTACCCAGAGCCCTTCTTACGCGCGGTCAACGGAGCGCAACGAGGGGCTCTGGCCAAATCCATATCAAACTGGCGTCTGATTGGCTACAACGAAGGTTATTGTTCTAATACCGGATATATTCTTTTACCATATTTTTATGGTATCCGGTTTTGGATTTGGCCAGAGCACCTCGTCGCGCCGCGCGTAAGAAGGGCGCTGGGTACGAGAATGGGTATGGACCAAATTTAAATTTCTGGCCATGTCAGAAAACTTGGTCAAGTGTTAATAATATATCAAAATGCTATGATGTTACCCTACGTTCTATTCTCGATAAGTATGCTCCTTTGAAATCGAAAATTATGACTGTTCGACCAATGGTACCTTGGTTTAATGATAGTTTAAAGAAGCTGAAAGCTAAACGTAGGAAACTGGAGAGAATCATGCTTAAATCGAAACTTTATTGTGATAAGAATGCTTATCGTAAGGAACGCGATGACTACAGTGCTCTATTGAATGACACAAGAAAAATGTTTTATTCCAACCTTATTGATAAATCTGCTGCTGATTCCAGAAAATTATTCCATATTGTGAACTCTTTGAGCAAAGAACATCTTGTCGAGGAGTTTCCTGATAATCGCGATCCTTCCGTACTTGCTAACGAGTTTGATGAGTTTTTTTGTAAGAAAATTGAACTCGTGAAATCAAAGATTGACGAGATTTCCATTAACCCACCTAGTGTTCCATTTCATCAGCCGGAAGTGAAATTGGATGAATTTTCTTCGGTTTATGAGGTTGAAGTTTGGAGGATTATATCCTTAAATCTTCGAATGCTTTCAGTAAGTTGCACCCTATTCCTACATCATTCGTTAAACTCTGTTGTCATGAATTGGCCCCAATTATCGCTGAAATCATTAATCTCTCTTTCTCTGAAGGAATTGTACCCAATCATTGGAAAATAGCGCTGATTCTACCTCTTTTGAAAAAATTTGGGCTTGATTTTATGTTTGAAAACTTCAGACCTATAAGTAACCAGCCATTTGTTGCCAAGTCTGCTAAGATCTAGAAGGCAACGATCTTTCAGTTATCTATACATTGTGGTGCAAATGCCCCTTTTCCCGAGTATCAATCAGCGTTTCGGAAAAATCACTCAACAGAAACAGCTTTACTAAAAGTCCAGAAAAAAAATTCTCCTCAGTATGGATCGCCAGGAGGTTACGCTTCTTGTACTTATCGACCTAAGTGCCGCACTTGATACTATCAACCATGTAATCCAACTGAAGACACTTGAAAAAGACTTTGGTGTAACTGGAAATGCTCTCAAATGGCTAACATGATGATCATGGTGGTGTATGTGCTTATATTCGAACTGAAAAATGTAATTACAGACGAATGGACGAATTAAATTGCTGTGAGAATCACGAGATCTTGTGGCTTTACTTACGACCTGACCGCTTACCTCGGGGTTTCTCATGTATAATTGCAGGATTGGTGTACCACCCACCCAGCGGTAATGCAAGTTCGATCTGTGACCATTTGTTCAACTCACTCACAATGGCCGAATCCACATACCCCAACTGTGGTATATTAGTTACTGGTGATTTTAACCGCCTAAATATTAATCGTTTATTAAATCACTTTCGCCTTAAGCAAATAGTAAAAGTACACACGAGGAAAGATGCTATTTTAGACCTCGTGTTAATGAATATGCATATGTACTTTTGTGCACCGAAAGCATATGCACCTTTCGGTCTGTCTGACCATAACACTATTGTCGCAGAGCCTAATGCCATAGCGCCAAAAGGCAACAATAAGAAAGTAATAATAAGACGGGACTGTCGGGCAAGTCGTAAAGCTGAAATGGGAAGATATTTGAGCCTCTTTGATTGGTCACAGTTGTTTGCTCCCTTGGATAGTAGTGAGGAAAAGTGGTTGGTTTTCCATGAAGTAATACACAATGGGCTTAACTTATTAATGCCGGAAAAACGTATGGAGGTCAGCACTGTTGATGCACCATGGATGAATAAGAAATTAAAGACCCTGATTGCCAAAAGACAAAAGGCGTTTAATAAGAATGGAAACGGTTCCCTTAATTTTAAATACTACAGGAATTTAGTCAACCGTGAAAGAAAGGCATGCAGAGGGAAGTATTATGAATCAAACATACAAAATCTTAGGGGTGAGAACCCTAAGAGATGGTGGAGTGAAGCGAAACGTTTAAGTGGTATGAAAGAAAAGAACAGCGATCTGTCCAGTCAAATAAAAATCGACGAGTTCTCTAACTTTCCACAACGTGAACAGGCAAATATAATTAATACAGCTTTCTTGGAGCCCATTGAGGAGTACAGGTTGGTCGTTCCACCACCATGCCGCGACTTGGAAGAATCAACGGAGGTCCTAACTGTGACAGAAATGCGCGTAGAGAAGGCCCTAGCAAAACTCAACCCTGGAAAAGCGTCTGGTCCTGATAACATTCCAAATTGGCTCTTAAGAGATTATTCCAGAATTGTTGCTCTCCCAATTATGAATATTATTAATACTTCATATCGTGAACAGCAATTGCCTGCATGCTGGAAGATGGCAGATGTATCTCCACTGCCTAAGAAGAAGCCGGTTAAGGACCTAAAGAAAGATTTAAGACCAATCTCGTTAACCCCTAACGTATCCAAGGTTGCGGAGGGGTTTGTGGTTGAGGATTAGGTGAAGCCTGCCATTTTAAAAGTTATCGACCCAAACCAGTACGGAACAATCCCGAATTCATCTACTACAATCGCGCTAATTAAGAGGGAATCTCCACTATCACCGAGCAACTGGTGGCACATGATGAAAAATGAAATGTTTTCTTAATTTGTCCAGTGATACACTAATGTATACTTAGAAACGCGATGGGGTTTGTTTTCTGAAATATTATTTTAAACGCCGAAAAATTATCAAAACCTGACATGTACCCAAGATTCGCGAAATTAGCTAAAAACATAGTGAGTCATAG